TATCATTACATTTTAACTATGGACTTTGTGAAACATTCAAACTGTTAGAGACAAATGAAATAAAAGACATCAAGTGCTTCCCCTAGTTTCCCAAATGGTGCATCAGTTAGCTTGAAAATGACCATCACAACATAGCCGTATACAGTAATGTTTACTGATGACGTTCGAGCACAATTTATTGCCCATAATCATGTCAAGGTATGATATGATATGAGCAATAAATTGTGCTCGAAACGTCATCAGTAAACATTACTGTATAACACTGTGAGACTTTATCAGAACAAAAATTTACCCATAATGGAATTATACTCTACCGCAGTGCACAAGTTTTATTCTTATATCAACAACCTAGCCGTGTTAAAAGCTCTCCTCAAACAACCTGATAAATTTCCATTTGTAAAGAGTGTATGAAATTCGCCTCAAATAACCATGGTTTTCTTACAGCTGGAGGCAGTGTGGTTATGGTGACTGCTTAACTCTTTTTTTCTACAAATCAGTGAATATTTCATATCAGCAGTGGTTTCACCTGAACACAATCTGACTTCAGTATGCCATCTAGATGTCATCTATGTTGAAAGTGGTTATTTTCATGAATAAAAAATCAGCGTGTTGTTCGTTCTTCAGAATATCTATAGCCATATTTACTGTTTTCTGGCAAGCACTTTGACACTTAAATTTGATATATGTGTGGATAATAAATTCAGTCTAGTTCACGGATTAGTATGAAGAAAGAACGAACGAACATAATCACATCATGATACGCGCTCGTTTTATTTGAGTATTATTTTTAACTGCAGAGATCTCAGAGTCAACTAAAGCTTGGATTAAAGATAAGAGCAACATAATGGTGGAATGAATTAGGCAGTGTAATAAGGTAAGAGGGGTACATGAGGTTCAGATTGTGATTGGAAAGAGAAATGACTACATAAAGAATAAAAGTTCGAAAAGCAGAGTGAATTTATAAATATATATATATATATTGTAAGATGGAAAGTTCACGAGGTTGTGGAGGAATAATCAATTAGGTATGCTTAGGAAGTTATGAGTGAGTTCAACTCAGTTCGTGATAATCAAAACTAAGTGAATTGTCACGTAACAGAACCAAGTACATGTTTACACGGACGAAACAACCACAATCACCAGAGTAGTGAGATATTTATTTTGCTATCTTTCTTTATCCAGTGTTGAGGCTGAAGATCGTTTAATAGCGATGCATTCTGTTAGGTGAAGTAAGCAGGGTTTTCTTCGTGTATTGATAATTTTGAAAGACTAACTTTTTCACTGTATGCCCTGTGTCAATCAGATTTCTGGGAATGATACTTGGGAATACTTTCCTGGCATTGATGCGACGACCTTTACGGACTTGCATAGAAAAGATAAAACATGCTGTCAATATTGAAGAACATTGAATAGTTTGTCTGTTCGAAATGGTGTGCATACTGACAGAGGACAAGAAGAATTTCATTGGTAAATCATGTACTGGTTTGAAGAAGAGTGGAAACATTCGATAAGAAGTATTGATGTATCACACATTAACGTTTATTTACAAATCTTGGCACTGATTGACCATTATAAATCTCCACGGTCATCGTTTGTAGAAATAATAGGCGTATTGTCCAACCGCTTTCTGTTGTTCGTGTCAGTGACAGTGCATAGTATTCTACATATTAGGCCTATTCTTCTGAAACCACCGATGGCTTGAGCATCTATGCGATGTGGATATTTGATGCATGCTGTTCTTTCAGTTTTTCATGTAAACTTGCTACCACGAATGCAGGTGAACTGGTGAATGCAGTTGATATCAACAAAAGCATGATAACTATCTACTTTTGAGGAAGTTAACTAGCATAGTGTGTTGTAAGGAGGAGTCGGTCTGTTGGCGAATAAGTTTCTCTTCAATTCTCACTTGACTTTGTTTCGGTTCTTGTTAACACATCTCCCTCTATGTACGATAAAGAGATGAAAAGCCACTGATTTCCAACCGTTTCATGTTTTGGTGCAGGTGTTTCTCACTTCCACATTTTATTGATTTTTCCAATATATCTATTCTCCATAAAATGCCTATCAGCAGTCCCGAGTTTCACTCTGAGATAATTTCTGGAACACAACTCCCTAGCTGTATTGGGGAACTTTTCACCAGGCTCCATCTGTAAACGGTTGGGCAAAAGCTGTGATAATGTGAGTACTGACTGATTCGTGCTTCTTCCTTATTGGTGAATTTTCCAACTGCCCCATTGTTATTTATTCTTATGTTGAAATCTGGGATCTATTGTAATTGCAATGTGAGGATTGTTTGGAATAAGTTTTTCAAATATCGTGGATATGTAGTCCATATTTCTGCAAACCACAAATGTGTTTTTAACATATCTGTAGTAATAAATACGCGTTACTCCCCGTTTCCGACTTCATTTCAGTCTGTTCAAGTTGAGTCATGAAACGGTCAACATGTAACAAGATATCTTGAACTCATTATTTATATTAAAATACATGTGTTTCTATCCATAAACTCAAATTTGTAAATACCAACCGAGTTATTCATTTTATTGTGTTGGTATTAGGAAGTTGCACGAGACTTCAAACGATTGCTTGTTATGGCGTAGAAGATATTGAGAAAACGTGTCCATAATTTTTACCTGTTAGGTATCTCTACTGTGAATGTCAAACATTTCAAGACAAAATTATGTCTTGCGTATTATCAAACTCCAGCTGTCAACAAACCATCGCACACTAGTAATTCCACTAGTCCCGTTTGACTATCTCAAATTTGGAAAAGCCTGGATAGGAAGTTTTCATCTGCCTAATTATATTTCTATTTAAAATTGAGGTATATTAATGTGGACAACCTCCATGGATATTCCCTTGCAGTTCAATGGCACACGGTTTGATGGGAAAATATCCAGTCAAATGCATGACTTGCATGGTGACACTCAGTTATACCATGCTGTAGGCCGACGTAGTGATTTCAAATAGCATTTGAAAAAATGGTCTTTCTCTACAGATTACTGAATAGTTTCATGCTTCGCTGATCATTGCAATGTATTTTGCATTTTCAGTGAAACGAGGAGTAGATTATGATGCTCCTCGTTTGATAACTCGAAGTTGTACTTATATTTAGAACCATCACTGATGACTGTAATTCTAACATGCGATATTATATATGGTTAGATTATCAGAACAGTAGAACACAGCTTTTCATTAAGTTTACTACAACCGTCTTAACTACGTGTTTCATATTATTACCACTTTGTAGAGCACTTGCATTTCTAATCAAGTGCGGCGCATTTCGGAGATACTTGCTTAGAGCTTAATCAAGCTTCTCTTCAAATACTAATTTCATTCTAGTTTTGAAATCCGAAATGATGTTCTTCAAATAAGTAACCACCTGACTGAAGGTGAAACAACCTGGATTGAAGATTAGAAAAGGGAACATTTTTCTTAAAAAACGGTTGCAGAGAAGAATATTTTTATTTCGACCAAGTCCTCAGCTAGGCTGTACATTCATGTATTTATATTAAATGTGTGAGAAAGCTCCAGAATTATTTCCGGTAATGGTTAAATTAACAAAGATACTAAGTGTAATAAACAGAAGTTAAGTGGCGGTACTATTCTAGAAATATTACATGACGAAGGTGAAATTAAAAAAAACAGTGAAATGTGTAATAATCAGGTAGACAAGACATAGTAAGATAATAATTACTGCAAAACTCGTCAGCTTGTACACGTAAAGATGAAGGACGTGGTATTAACAAAACAGGTAGGAGGTTCGGACTTATAAAAATAGTAACTACATCTAGTAATGCAGATAGAAAATAAAAACGTAAACATTACAGATGCAAACGGGAAAAGTGGGCAAGGAAGTTAATTGGATAATCATTAGTCGTGGATACAATGGTTGGAGTATTTATTTTGAAAACTTGAGTAGACTTGACATTTGTATCGCCAGTGCCTCAGCTATTCCTAGATTTCGTCATTTCGGTCCTTTTATTAGGATTGCTCTGATATTATATATGGCTTTGAAGGACTTCCGAAATGAGCCTAATGTTCAGAATGCACCGAATGTTCTGTTATCAGACTAGTATTTCCCCTTTCCTAACCATGCTGGATAGTTTTCCCAAGCGCTTTTTGTACAGGAGGACTCATAATAGGCCAATGTACTCAGCTTCACACGAGCAAGTGAACTTGTACATGCATGATGAAGTGGCTCTATGCAACAGCTTGTCTTTCACGTATTGGGTAAGTAGTTCCTTGCAAGAGAATTCTACTCCTTTGCCAGTGACGACTTGGGCCTTTTCCAGGTGTTTTCCTTGGTTCCAGATTCTTGTCTGTGAATCTGCGTTGGAATCCATTTTCTGTCAAGGTTACTTAGAGATTTTGCAGCTCTTGGTCAATTGATTCTTCAGTGCAAATCTTCCCAATCCTCGAGGAAAGAGAGTATATTAGGTTTCTCTTTATGATTAGGGATACGCGACTATGAAAGCCGATCAAGTGTCCGTTCCATGTGGACTTTCCGCAGATAGATTTGTTAGTCACTTGCCAGCATTCCTTCGTAGTTGAACGTCTAGGAAATAAATGACTGACTCAGACTCAGAACAGTTTATAGTACATTCATTTCTCTTCGTTATTTATGTAGCTGTGTAAAATGACACTAACTGTAGCTTCATATTTACTATATAAAAAATATAAGTTTAAAGAGTCAGCTGCGAAGCGCACAGAAATCAAAAACAACTTTACATTGAAACAAACGAGCATTTGTTACAGTTTATGTGTCTGTCGCTCACAGATGAAATACATTTCAGCGAATAAAAATGCCTCACAAATATAATATTAAGTGTTGTGTAGGTTTCGCATGAAATCGTGTGATGTGATCTGTGTGGTATTTGTGTGCATCAATATGCGATTGGATTGACAGAATATATATACAAGTGTTGGTACTCGGATTTCGTCAGTCTTATAGTGTAGAGACAGAAACATGTTCAGCAAAATATGGTGGACATTATTAGCGTCAATTTTCTTGTGTAAGTAGTTCCTCATTTTAATGACGAACGAGGCAGTGTTACATCCTATATGTACGTTTTTATCGTCATTTGATAATGTTTAATATTTGAATTATATATATATATATATATACATGTGCACCAGGTTTCTTTACCTGATGAGTGACACCTATAATGTCTTTTAAATATTCCAGACGCTATGTTTCTGCCACAATCAGAAGCAGGTTGGCTATGGTGGCTGTTTTGTAAGTCCCTATAATTGATTTTTACCTTTGATATCTCATAAATATTCCTTCTATGCTGAACCGTTTGGTATCTAAATATTAGTGTATGGAATGTCTACAAATATTTACGTAGAGTTGAGGGATAGCTCTTTATATAAGGAATTATTATTTTTTATCCTTCTGTGTGACAAAATATCATCGGTTATTAGCATACACGTAATTAGCATATCAGGATTACTCACAGTTTGTTTCAACTAGACGACCTATATTAAATATCAGAATCACTGTGAGCTTCGAGGACAATGAGGTCTTATTAATAAAGGTGTCGCAGCATTGTGAAATGAATTCCTTATTGCTCTTGTAATTACTGAACTGCATTTAGTCCGCTGCGGTTTTGTCTGAATAGACATTTTTTTCTCTTTTACGTCCCGACACTTCCTGCCGGGAAAAACTGTTTTGTGAGCTTCACAACGTCTTATCTAATTTTGCGGCTGAAGTCACTTACTGAAAGTAACAATTTGATGTTCATTATTGTCAAGCAAAACAACGCTTTCCACATTTCGGGTCTTCAGAATTATACTTGACTAATAGACAGGAAAGAGAAATAGATTATGTGATGTGGAAGGGGAGGAGTTTCATTGACAAGCATGTCGCATTTATCCGTAATGTCAGGGAGAGTCATGTCAATGAAGACTAAATGGGTTTTTGGCTGTATGCTGTGTCACAAAAATCATTTTTTACAGAAATATTTCCACTTTTATTAAACAGCATCACCATCAACATTTGAATCAAATTATACTCTTGTCATTTCACACATTCATAGGTTTATTTGCTCCGAACTCCACATTTTGTGACTGTGAGATTCTGAATGTTTTGTATCTTTCATATCTTGTTATGATATTTGGAAACGATAGCGACAATCATTAGCGCAGTGTCATGATTTCATTGTATTTATACCTATTCAGCCGAGTGATTTCCTGAGATGCTTACATTTACAATGTGTATGACTACAGTGTTACTTCGATACTGCATTTCCCCTATGGATTTGATCTGGTATTTGAGAGAATACAGCAATTTTCAGTTCTAGTCTATAAATTCATTGACATTAGTTCAGAGTTTGACGTAACAGAAGAATAAACTTCGCATAACATCATTCTGATGACTGGTTGTTATCTGCTGTAGTTCCAGTCTGTCACAGAATTCATATTTTGACTAGCGTTGTGAAAGGCCATTTCTAGTTTCTTAAATATAATATCAAGTATATTTAAATAGACAGAATACTTAAGTACATGCGAAATCACAGTTCTGTTACAGAAGCTTCTGAAGGGAAACGCTGATTATGTGCAGGGAAGTTCACTTCTTATGAGATTTAGAACGACGCAACAACGCTTGCTAACTACTATTGGGCTTCACAAAACGTCTTTGCGTACTTAAATTATTCTACTAGTTGTATGTGAATAGATAGTGTAGCTGAACATGTGTGAATTCATAATTCAGCGTAATTTATGGAAGAGCTTCATTAAATGAAATGTTTGATACTTTTATGACATTCACCAGGATGCTTCATCACAGAAAACACTCTGAAAACTCAGTGTTTCGTAGTGAAATGCAGTACGTCTCGGTGATGTTCATACATAATTTTTTTCACATTTACTATCAGGTCACTAAGATGAACTAGCATGAACTATCGAGTAGATAAGAACAGTAAGTACTAATATATTTGTGACTCGGTGCTACATTTTGTTTCAGACAACAAGTTGGCGCAGAAGGCTGTTGTAAGCATGACGACATTTTATATGCAGTATATATGTATATTCTGTTATTTGCTTATACCTTGAAATTCATTCAAATAACTGCAAAGATTGTGCTTGTAATGAGATGACGATAATCCACTCAACGCATCTGTAATAAGTAATTTTCACACCTAAATAATTCATTAAAATTTAAGACGTGCATAACGTGTTTTGGTGCTTAGTTAAGTAGTTTGGAGAGATTATAAAGCGTGAGATTTCTGCAGCCACTTAACGGCTTCTCAGTACGTCATGTGTGCATCATTCTGCCAGCTTCTAACATTTTGAAGAAAACTAAGTTATCCTCAGCAATCACTGACTCTGAAAATATCAGAAAAATATCTTCGTTAATAAAGCTCAAACTAATGACATTTTGATAACTACTGTGCAACGTCTGTTCAATTACATTACTTGTTCGTTTTGTAGGAGGTCGTTAGTCAGGTGGCAGTAAGTTATAATGATTATTGTTGACTACAGATTTCAAGCTAGTTACATTTCTAATTGAAAACTGTGTGTGATCATATAGTTATTTGAAGTATTATTATTTTCTAGACTGAATTTCTTCGAAAACAGCCTGCTAAACTTATCAAAATCAGATATGTAGTCATGGTAACGATGAAACAGCCAGTCATCAAATAATAAGGATAAATAGTGGAGGTTTTCTTCAGTTAACCAAAATACAGCTATTTGTCTGTTAATAATAATAATGAATATACTGTGAAATAACGGTTGGCAAATATATATATATATATATATATATATATCCATGCAACAACACGCTACACCAATCGATAGCGTACTACATGTGCATCCGATTATTATAATAAAATACATCCACGTTTTCGTGCTCTACAATGAACTAAACGCTGCATACAATCAAATTACAACAAAGTGGTGTCAAATAGCACAAGTGAATGTGCGAAGCGAACGTGAGTGTGCATAACCATTGTTCAACTTTACAATGACGAATATTCGATAAGCAGAGGGAAAGTTAGTTTCTATAGAAATATAATATCTTCACGTGGATTAGTTTTATAAGTGTTCAGTCACAGTTAATATAGGGCCTCTGCAGCCTGATAAAATAATTGTTTCTTACTGTTATTCAACATGGAGTGTCCAGGGAATTGAATAAGGAAAGCCAAGTATCTTGATTATCAACTCAAGTAAAATGCCTGATTGCATCTGAAATGAATTAAAATGGTCAAAACGTCCTTGATATTTACTTGATGGTATTCGGTTCTCTTTTTCCCGGTCAACAGCTATTCGGATTCGTCAATATTCATATCATCTCTGTTATTATAATTTGTATATTCAAAGTTAAAATTTAATTTACTTTAAAACACTCTGATTTTGATGTAGAAACTGATAAATGAACCCATGTTCCAGCATATTCGACTGTCTGTCTCAGATTAGGATATGAGTAATAGTTATTTATATTCAATTGATTAACACCAAAGTGAAATTCCTTGTATGTGATTCCAAATGGAATTTCAAAATACGATAATATATCATTTAACTGTGTTAGAGGATAAACCATTTCCTCTTGAATTTCATATAATATTAATTTCATTGAATTTAATAACAGTAACTTGTGTTACACTGACTATTGAACAGGGTGGCGGATCCTCGTCGGTAAGTCATTATTATTAACTGCTTGAATCATGCTCATAGTATGATTGTGTCAGTCTTTGTTTCTTGAATTATTCTGATTCACTTTAAACTGCATTCTCATGGAAAATTTTGATATAATCACATAGATATAAAAGGTGACATCACAGAGATAATGATACTCAAATGACCTTGGCGGTGGAATTTCCCACTGAGTTAATCAGCACAAAGTAATCTGTCCGTTTCTGTGAATATGTGAATATACTTGACTCTTATTAAGTATATTTGTATTTAATACAGAACTACCCAATTACCACTCAAGATGTTTGTATGGTCGTTAAATGCTTCGTCTTTATCTATTAATACTGGGTATCGGGAGGCTTTATTTTTAGAATTGCTTAATATCTTGTTCCTCTAGGATTGAAAACCTTGCAATGAATTTCCAGTAGACCATTGATTTTTAGTTGTTTTACACTAAAAGTCAGTAACGAATGTTTGCTGAAATTTCATATATATAATATCGCCACTTCTTTTCAAATCGCCAACACTCAAACCTAACTTCACCATGGAATCCGAATAAAAACTTCAGTAAAACAGTTGACCGATTGCTCATAAACAAGGGATGCCTAATTTTATTAGACTGAACAAGATCAACAAGAGATAAAAGTGTGAGAAGCCAGTTTGGCTTTTATGTTGATGAAGTTTATTATCGAAGATTTTTATTACATCGCTTGTCCACATGATAGAATGGCGCTTCATAATCGTCGGTAAGTCTTTGTGATTGCTCTCTTCAAAAACATTTCTCTTAAAAACACAACTACCTGTTACCATTCCAGTATTTACAGAACTGTTATCTTTTTGTTTGTGTCTTATTGAAAAATGAGGGTAAGAGCTCTGGTGGATAACAAGTAGAGTAAACATGGAGTAAGGAAATAATTAATAAACCAACAAATCAGAACTACAAATAATCAATCAATTTTGAACGGGAACTGCATTGTGCGTTGACGTGTCTTCACGAATGTGTTATTAGGCATATCGTATCTGTCACCATTATCCCACATTATTACTTAACTGAAACTGACAGATGCGTAGTAACGATTAGAGGACAGATAAGAATAACTAGTGTGTATATTCCTTCTGTCAGTGTCTCTCTGATCTCGATCACCCAATTTAAAGGCTTTTATATGCTTTTTAGTCAACACTTGAGAAATCTACGAGGTAAAGTGGAATTTTCATTCAGGACATTATTATTTCGGCCTATTTTCGCTGAAACAGCTCAATAATTATGTAGTATTGTTCTGTTATTCCTCCTGCACTTGTTAACTTCAAATGCATTTACAGCCGTCATTTTGAGTACCATGATAAATACCTTATTGCATTTGTTGATGATGAACTTGACCATTAGTTCCAAAGTCTTATCCAGTCTTGTCAGAATTGTCACCTACTTTAATCACGTCCCCATAGAATTTGTCCAAGTAGGAGTAACGAAGTTGCATTGAGATCTCTGATGACTACTAAGAGAAAGAAGTCAAGAAAAAATTAATGAACTACACGTCAAACTGTTAAATACTCACTTGATTATGAAAGAGAAATGCTCAGTAAGTAAACATATCGTCACCAATAGGGCAGAAGTATTTGTTGTGCAAACGTACATAAGGGGATACTTTAATTGTGCGCCGTAGACTCAAAAGACAAACAATACAACTTGATTCGCATCTGGAGCGAACATTTCTATATCGCTGTATTCTCTATCCAAGATCTCTTGATTGCGTTTTTTTCTTGTGGTTTTAGGCAGGATCTCCTTGAAAGTGCTTCTGAAGTGAGTTTTAAAATTCACTTTAACTGTGCTATTTTCTGCAATTATTTTACGTATAGAGAAGTAAATAATATAGGTATTTTACTCGTATAAATTATATACTCCTAATTCTTATTTGACAAGCAATACCTTATCTCTGTTATAGTTACGGTCAACTGAGTTACCTAAAAACTTCACATAAACAGAAGTTTCCCAGCTGTTTCTATCGTATAATTTTGATTTGATTTGATTTTGATTTTGATTTACAGCTTGATTCCACACTGTGTTTTCGCTACAAGTATGGAATTTTCAGCATGGATATCGGTAGCCCAAATTTTGCAGGCCGACCATAGATATCAGGTGTGCGTCGGTGGGGGATCGAACCTCGGACCATGCGCTTGGTCGGCGAGAGTCCTAACCACTGTGCCACCGACGTATAAAGCGAAGAACCTATTAGCATTTCAGGAAAATGCATGATACAGAGTGTTTACAGTTCCGTTGGAATAACTGAAGTCGACCTCAGAACAGGCAGCACGACATATTGATTCAACTAACAGACAATGTGAGGTGCACGTTCTTGAATATGGTTATCATCAGATGTTGAAAGTAATTTATCCTTCACATATTTGTTGGAACTAGAACTCAACGAAACAGTGATAATAAGTACAAACACTACACAACAAACTGACGATAAATTACAAATCCCTTAAGCTCCTGAAACCTTACACTCACTTCCTCGTAATTACTTTCAGTATGAAGTTAAGTTGTGAAAGCTTTAGCCCCTCATGAATTCATAAAGATCCTGGGCTATCCTAATGAAATGTGAAGTAATTTATTAGTAACAGAGAGGTGATTAATAAACAGTGGTGGACTGAAGAAACTCAGGAACATACAAATGTTGATGATTTTGGTGTGTGTTTTCAGGCAAGTATAGACTGCATATATGAGAACACGAGAAGCTTTCTTTATCTCATCATGCTTGAAATATTCCGTTTATATGTCATATACTGTTAAAATTGAAATAACTTTGCACCATGCAAAATCTGCATTCATTATTTATTTGTTCGCTCACTTTGTTTTCTAAATATCTGAATGAATTCTTTCGCCGTATTTATTTCTTGGACAACAGGTCACACTGAAGAATTCACTATTGACTAAACATTCAAAATTACCACTTAAAATGTTTCAATGGACATAAAAATAAATTAAATATCGAAAATTTCTGTTGACTTCATGCTTTCTTCTACATTTTTGCATCTACGTATACAAATGTACGTTTTCACAAATTCATATACTAAACGCAATATATTGGCATTGAGTTAATCATATCTAGATATCAAACCACCTTTACGGATATCATCAGTTTCAATTGATTTAAACACACAATTAGCCTACGATATGATAAAGATGAATGTTTTGTGTAACGTGCAGGAATAAGTGGAATTGAGCTGATTGACATATGAATGAGCATTTGCCTAACATTTCAGTTTTAGCATTCAAAGGTATAAATACATATTTTACAAATCATTCAGTTGGTTTCTAAAATCAGAATGATGCAACCACATGACGTTTGCCTTGGAGCACCATACTCACTAAATAATATTCATTCACCAATCAGACGAGTGAGGATAATAAGCAGTAAGAATAATGTGATATTTCATGAAAATAAAGCATGTAGATATTGTCAGAGACTTTGAGAGATATCAAGAGAATTTGTTTGACGACAGCATACTGGAAACGGTTGCTTTCGTTGACGAATTAACTATCACAGACCATTGGAAGATTGAAGTGAACAATTACTCAATCACTCCTACATCTGTCTATCGAATTATTTTCATGACATTTCAACCGCTTGTTTTCTACAGTGATCACTTCCAATCCCTAAATCTTATTGCTCAGAACGGTGTCAAATTACTCAAGGATAGATTAAGTGCTATGTGGTAACAAACAGAAAGTCTTTTCAATGTTTAAAAAATTCTGTAATCAGCTGTGTAACTAGTGATGTTCATACTTTCTTCAACGAATCGTCATCTGGTCAGAATTCGAAGACATCAGTTTCAGTCTGAAGTGCACATTACATGACTCCTTTACTAAACAATTTGAAGTAGAGTTTGGTAATTAGAAATTCCACGAATATCATGGAAGACAGGTATAATATTGGAGGCTAACTCATCGTCATCAACCATATATATATATATATAGGTATGTGAAATTAGCATGAAATTCATGGAGATTTCGTTAATAAATATTCTGCTTATGATTTTATACCGAAATATCTTTATTGCCAATTGAACTGTGAGCGTCTCTATTTCGTAATCCCAGAGAAATATGAGCGGTCGACTTAATCACCATTTGCTGATCTAGTTGAATTTTCTAACAACTGATTTCCTCATAAGAGAAACTGATCCAGAATTGTATCTAGCGTCTGCAGAAAGTAACATATTCAACGCCTCCGATCTCAAGTATCGTGTTAGGTTTTCTTCGGTGAATTATTGACAGTTTTGCGAAGAATAGATATATAAATCAATATTTAACTGTAGTAGGAAAGATTAATTAAAAGGATAATAATGAATGTGTTTCATAACTGGTGATTTCTTAGTTTTCTAGAGTTCCTTTGCAGGAAGTTTATTTGTTTGATGTTTGGAAACACACTGACACCAGTTAGAAAGAATTCAGAAGCAGTAATAATTAATGGACAGTTGTTCCATCCTCCTAGTTTGGGACTCATCAGCAGTACTCACCCACTTGAGTTCGATCCCAGGACCTTCAGGTAACAAGTTAGTTTATCAACCTAGGTTGTTTTCATTATTTAAAAATCTTGGATATATAACCCTTTGAAGAAGAATGTTATAAAAGTCAACTTCATTTAACAGTTGCTTTATAATAAACAGTTAACTTAAATCGCTTTTTTAAATTTTCTGAATTATTGATCACTCCGCAGTTTGAAATCAGATGCAATTCTGAGGTGACATAAGTCCATCCGCAATAATCAGCGTAAAAGTTGAGGAATAGCATCACTAAATGTTTTTATCATGAATATGTGTGGGGTGCATTAAAAAGAAGATATTACGTTTGTGCTTCTTTAAGACAGCTGACGAAAACATTTTATAACGCATTTTATGAGGGATTTTATCAAATAGCAAAAAACTGGTATCTCTGTTCACCTGTGTAAAGGAGTATAGTCTGTTATTGTCCAGTCATCGAAAAAATGTTTCAGCATTCACAAAGGATTGATAAGTCCTATAATGTTTTTTCAGTTTCAAACTATGTTATGCATTATTAGACGAAGTGATTCTCTGAGCAGTTTGTTTAGGAGAATAAGAGGACTGTAAGTTTCCGTCTGCTGTATTATTATTAAAGATGAACACAAGTCTCAAATCCAGTGTATTTTCTGCTTCGAAAACGTGAAATGTATACAATAAAAATGAGACTATCAAATGCAGTATTCATAACTATAGCTTGAATCACTTACTTTTATAAGTAATCGCACTTAAATATGCAGTGCGGGGAAAAATCATCGAATCTCTACACGTGTGCACATTAATTGTTAAATATCAACTAAGATGTTGTGACATAATCTGTTGATTTGTCGTTACATTAAGAAATGAGACAAAGTATTTCACAACGTTGTGCCACTTGATATTCAACAATGACAACTTGATCGATAGACTGTACATAAACCCATGGTTGCGCTAAAACTTTTACATTATGATGAAGCAACAGACTGTTTTTACATATCGGCATACAGCACTTGTAATGTTTACTCAGTCACAAAACATTAGTGTGAATATTAAGATTTTAGAAACAAGGTTAGGCTGGAGTGAAGTACATATCTCAAACATGAACATTCATTGACATAAGAGGATTTGGAGGAAGTTTGCGTAACAGAGGTTGAAAAAAATTTATCACTTTATTAATACAATGATCATAATTCACGTCACAAAGGAAGGTGTGTAGTTGTGCGTATTTTTTCTTTAAAGTTTAAGGGGAATCGTCGATGTTGAAAACTCGACTGAAATAGTGAGAATATCGGAATAATTTACATAAGATATACATCAATTATTCATTGAGAAGCTTAAATGTTAAGTAGATTAGTGAACGAGTTATATAACATGGCATACAAAGCATGACATGGTAAAACGCAAAAAAGCGAAATATCCTGTTTTTAGAAAGTATCATCTGTCGCTATAGGGGAAACACCTATCCCACGCATAATAAAAATGATCTTAGCAAATCTAATCATAGATAATTAAATCCTATGTTTGAAACAAGAGGGAATTAGTTACCTAGAGAATTGTGCCTAAGATATTTGGGTATGTCAATACCTTGTTCAATCTATTGCTCTAGTATTTCAACTACTATGGTGACAAAATTAGTGAATTTCTGATAACTTATCAGTGTGCAATTGGATTACATTTATATCTCCTAACTTGTGCTACTAATACTTTGATTTTCCAAAAGTGTCTTTGGTTATCTACCCTTCAGATGACTTTCAGTACGACTGGCACACAGACTGGTGGTCTGTTTGTGACACTATTATTCATGATTTTTTATTTCGTACTTTACAGCTGGAACATAGAGGCTTTTATTGACGAAAGCAGTTATAATCTGTTCTGTAATGTTTGTCACTGGTTCATTTGAAGAACACATTCAAACAAAAATGAATCGACGTTAGATATTATTCAGGAGATTTGACCAGTCCAAACATGAGCTGTAATTCCAGTGAGTAGATTTATACTAGCACGCCTAAGAAAAATGGAGCAAGGAACAGATAAAAGTTCGGCCTTTAACGCTTTATACAAGTAACTACCTCAAATCTTCAGGTCCGTTCACCTTCAACTGCAAACCAGCTTATCTATTAGTTGTCATTGTACTTTTCAACTTAATCATTAACTTCAGAATATCTCTGGCTGGCCTGTCTTTTACCCAAGCCCTTACTCTCAATGGAAGATAATTTTCTATCCCAATGACTCTGGATAAAGTAAATATTATCTATACTTGTATTGTTGTTTTTACCTTCCTCCATACTCAGTTATAACTGCATGCTTATATCAACGTTTCATAATTTGTTTTGCAAGCAAACACTTTTTCGATATAAGGGTAAACCTTGGGCACTTAGGTAAAGTATAATTCCGTTATAGATAAAATTTTATTTTGATGAAGTTACATATTGTTATACAGAAAGGTTTACTGTTGACATCTCCAGAACAGAACGAAAAACAAATTAAGAAACTACCATATAATTAGAAGAAAAGTACGGCAGAATAAATTGAGAAGTTGACAACAAGGTTTCATATTCATTAACGAAACAAAGTGATTGATCAGCCTCTTTTCATGAGATTAAAGCACTAGTGAGATAAAACTACTTGAATAAAGGATTAAATTATAATTCAACGGTTAACAAACTAAAATCAGAAAACCTCATCCCAAACTCAGAAGTAGAATTAAGTTGAAGAGATGCAACGACAGCAGAAGAGGTTCGAAGATAATGTGCATTAATTGTGAAGGAACAAAAGAAAATACAGTCAAAATTAATAAAATCGGAAAAATTAGCTCTAATTTATATTAAAAAGAATAAAAAAAGATAATAAAGGAAACTCCACAGTGGTTTTGGATAAATCTGACTATGTAAAGAAGATCACTGAACATATTGAGACAGGTACATCTGAGGAAATTAAGAAGCCTATAGATGCAATAATGAATACGGTTGAGAAATCGACAGCGGATTTTTTACGCAGAATAAAGACACCACTGCGAGGGTCTAAATGGTTAAGTTTAATGTCTAAAACTAATAATACTATAAGAATATATGGTACCATTAAAATACATAATCCAGGTTACCACATACGAACAATAGTAGATTTCAGGAATACGCCTGCATAAGAGTTATCAAAACACTTAGCTCTGATACTATATCGCATTAGAAATCATTCACACTCTAAGCTAAATAATTCATAAGAGAAGAAATGCAAACTAAATAACATTCAATCAGAGAATAATGAAACAACGGTTAGTTTGGATATAATTAGTCATTATACTAATATTCCAATCAATATGGCCTCAAAAGCGGTTAAAAGAGAACTAACTGCAGATTCTGAACTCATTCACAGGACGAAGCTGCTCAGTGATAACATTATTTCAGGAATTCAGTTATGCCTCATATATACTATCTTTTAATTTCAAAACAAAATATAAAGA